TCCGTCGAAATAAACTACATGAGTTTCCGACTCAAAGCTCCCAACTGTATGGTGATCAGTGAAAGGATGAGCATGTAAGAGGTGTTAACAAAATAAACGTAAAATCTATCTAAACGATGTGTATGCTGATCAAAATCGATTGGAGATGCTTGTAAATTTCAAACGAGAACACTAGGAAAAAATAACATCGTTTTTCCCACATAAACATTCTGGAATGCAGACAGTCTCATCTGTAAGCACTCAGCTTCAGCTCTCCGCAAATCGAGATTGTACTTTAGCCGATTACTAAACTGAAAACAACTAGTTCTTTGGCGGGCTCAAAAAGCGGTCATGAAACTAATGGACGCGGTGAAAACAAACTTTTGAACGATATTTTCAAGAGTAGCGAGCATCAAAAATAGATGTGCATCCCACGAATTCGATCACTGACACTAGATCTTGGATGTGAGATCACATTAGCGGAGCATCAGGCAAGAATCAACAATTTGATTAGAGTAACTTGCTCGCGTGAATGCAATGAGCAAGGCAGTGAACACATTTTCACGGATAGCTAAGTGGTGCTCGACGAAAAACCTGAAGCTAAAGAAAAAATGAACTGACGCAAGGCCGAGAAAAATAGTGAGATGCTCCAGAGCGCAGCAATCGGGTGGAGCAGTCGATTTCTATGAATCATTCAGGAATGTCTAGGCATAAAGATGTTTTTATTGCGAAAATGATAATGTGATTCAGTTTTGCTGGAATATATTCACACATTTTAGCACTGAATGAAAAGCGGACATCCGACAGATAATCTGTAACCAATAGATGACATAGAATGCCAGAGCCTTGCACATATATTCTCTTCTAACAATGCACCAAAGTCCTTATATTGAATTTTTTGCAATTTCTGCTCCCCCAAAACACATTAATCTTCATTTGCTGCACAGCCCGCAACAGTTGCTCTTTTGAAAAGTAAGTAAACATGGCACAAAAAAAATCTGGTATGAAAGCGATTTGAAGAAAATGGATGCTGCAACCAGTTACTAGAAAAAATCAGAAATCAAATGCGGCTCATATTAACACCTGAGAAGCGGTAGCCTCAGCCCTTAAACTTTCTGCACCTGGATGCGAACTCTGACAAGAAGGGTCCGTTCAGTCGAAATGGCTTTTTCATGTCACTTCTACACCATTTGAAGAGCAATGAAAGATGAGTCCAAATCTATCTTCACTATTTGCTAAACGCTTCTGAACGCCGATATGAACGATTCTGGGGTTAAATAATTGAGCGTGCAACCGAACAAAATTTGTTCAGAATTGTAGAATGATTCAGTGCTAATAATCAGAGCCTTTAGTCGATAGGTAACGTCTGCCCAAAACGCTCATACTAACACTGGTCTACTTGAGGCGCTGAAAAGACCGTAATGGTTGATTTTACCTAAATTCTGCGTTCACTTTTTGCTCCAAGAAACACTCATAACTCGATTCCCAGAGGTGCTTGGCAGATAATGAAGACAGATTTGAAATCAGCGTGCAATGCTCTTTGAAGCGGTATAGGATTCGTTTGAAGAGATGCAGGGATTTTCATGACATTCAGGAGTTCACGAATATCTGCATAAATCAGAAGATTTTATGTGCAGTATGTGCAATGACGCATGAGAGATGGATTCGGCTCTTGAGGTCATAGATTTTCGGAAAAATGATGCAAAGAATGATGACCTCTACAAAGCTCACTATCTGCTGTAAAGCGGGGCAAAACTAAGCAAAAACAAGCTCTCAAAGCCACTGGGGGTGCTTATCATGCTAGAGAGGGTGCTCGAAATCAATATCGATAACAGCCACTCCTAAACTCTTGGATTTGAAACAAAGCACTGAGTTATGGCTGCGAGTCTCGTGCATATGATATGCACATCGAAGTAACGAGGGCCCCGATCGCATGTAATGTTACCACCCCACCCACTCCGAGCCCCGAACACGAATTGATTCAGGGGAGGGAACACAAGCCAAGCAAAGTACAAAACGTAGTCAACAACTGTGCCACACAGCGCCTCTATGATTTTGAAACAGTCGACGCGTCTGTTACCGAAAAAAAGCAGTAAGTGGCGGGAGAAACATTGCGACACAAGTTTTCAGTCGATTAGAAGGCCTATTTTATTTGTTAGAGAGAGTGAGAGCCTGACATGGCACTGTTGAAGTAAACATGCGCCACCAAACTGGATTCAGCATGAGTTATGATTTCACCACACTTGCACAATTGATGGGAAGGCACATCCAGGCAAACGGACAAGGTGCAAGGGCGAGGTAAGGGTGTTTGTTTGGATGGCACATCGGATTGATTGCTGGTCACCGATGCGATCAACTGTTCACTCACAAGAAAAAACAACGTAGATTAAATTACAGATTCTACAAGGACGTCTGACTGCAATTTAGTGGTGTCTGGAGACAGAGCGAAGATGAAACAAACACCATCTGTTCTGCAATTTTGCAAACCTAGAGCACACAATCCTAAATGTTCGGTAAATCAAGAAAAGGTTGCAGATTTTCTGGAAAAAAGCGGTGCTCTCTGCTGCGATGGAACAGGCTTTTTTATACATTTTGAGGGCCTCCTTCTTTGAAACAGAAACCGCTATCAAACACTGAAAAACTGAGTCACCAAAAGGCCAATAATCTTGGTTGATTCGTCCCAAAAAATGAGTCTATTTGCTTGATGATGCATCAATAATACCCCAGAAATGACAGAGAGAACGCATGCTAGGGCTAAGAAATTGGAGTGCTGATAACGTCAGATAAACTGTTTTTTTTTTGGAAAATGTAAAAATTCACTTCTACTTCGAGCCTACGACTTTAGGTTGCGTTATTTGTCAAAAAAGTAGAAGGAGACTAAATGAGATGCACACATAACAACAAGGGAGTGCATAGTGCACGAAGGCAGAGATGGCAGTGTTGCAGTGTGTTCAGGAGGAGAGGGTGGAGCCAAGGGTGTCACGAGTATGCTGTGGGCTGAATTTCTTAGTAATAGGACTGGAAACGAGTTGGTTAGCAAGTGCCATTGATTTTTCTACTTTAAGGGACAAAATGAGCTCGCAGATTTTGAGATAATGCAAATCTCGAAGAGTTCAAGATAGACATGCGATTTTTGTGAGCGCCACGCGTACTGTTTAGCCACCCTGATTTCGTGGATATGCAGGATTTTTTAAAAAACTTTTCAATTGGAACATGTGATCGCGCAGAACTACAAGAAGATATAGAATTCTATACATCAGTTGGAGCTACTAAAAGCCCCTGCCAAGAGTAAGATTTATCGGCCAAATGTCATCTTCTAAAATCATTTTTGATTTTGTCTCTGCTTTAGCTCTTCAAAGTTCGAACAGTCCTTTTTTCTTTAGCCATCTTGGAGGGGCCCGTGCATTTTCAACTTTTCAAATGGCATTCAAAAGAGTTTTCGAGAGCCTTCAACTTGAACACAGCGAGCCCTATGTTCTTGTGGTTCTATAAAAACAAGTTCAAAATTCATAACCCAAGCTTTTACCAAATTTGCCTGTAGGCGGACTTGTGTACAAAATCTGTTAGTAGTAATCGCATTTATGCGAATAATAAAATTGAATTAGTTTCCCCCCCCCCCCTCCCAAACAAGATTTAAAAGGGAACTGAGAATAGACTTTAGGCGTACACGCAGACACCGCAGACATCACTGCAGTAGCACGGCCGAACCCCTATACACCATACAGAAGCGTAAATGAGTAGTGATAGTGCGACAGACTGCTTACTGAGATGAAGCATCAAATGCTGATAACACATCAACACCCTGTCGAAAATCATTGAACACTGATTGCGGAAACGGAGCAAGCGTCAAGTGTCGCAGATGTCTTGCACAAGAAGTGAGAGGCTCACAGGTGGTGATAGAACGCTGATGTTTCGTCCCCAGTCGTCAGCAATGCTCCAGCAAAGGTCGCATCGATTTCAGCCCAAAGACAAAGCATTTCTCTGCTGCTCTTCCGGCACCAGATGATTGAAAGGGCGAGCATGTGACCAGCGGCCAATTCTGGAGTTGTTGGCAGCCTGCCAGCAGACGGATATCGACTAGAAGCTCTGGCCGACAGCCAACAATAACATGTAATTTATGTTCGCGAGTAAGCAAGCGAGAAGTGCGCCCTCAGCGAGTACTGCATCAAAAATCTAATCTTGCGAGAGACGTTTGAGCAACGTTTTTTTTTCAAAGAACGGGCAGCAGGCACGGCCAGCTGCAGATTTTTGATAAGCTGTTCAATACGCCCTTGAGACCGATAACACCGGAAAATGCTGATTCACCACTACTGTGGATTGCTGCCGTCTCAGGGAAATTCCTTCCAAACAAGCAACAAACCCAAAAGAGAAAACCAGAGGAAAGGACGGCTTAAATGAGCGACGAACAGTCCGAGCTGCTGTTTCTGGAATGAGGAAAGTCAAACGCGTTTGAGTAAAGATTATGCGAAACTTGTGGGGGGGGGTTAGCGTTCTAACAATATTCTGCTATGACTGGAACTTCGACTGCGATTACCCCTAAGCTTTAGACATGCGACTGGAAAGAATATGAAAAAAAAATCAAGACCTGAATAGTCCTTTTTTATAAAACTTTCCATTTCATCTAACTTTTATTTTAGTCCAATATATTTACACAACCAGCCCTTGTACTATCCTTTCCTAAGCTTGTTCATGATCAGACTAAATTGTTCAACGACCAACCAGATTATTCAGAGAGGTTTTCGTGGGTTCATCGACCATTGCCCTCCAATCCTCAGCTGCAGTGCTAGGCTCCGCAAAGCTTTAGCACTTATAAATAATTTCCGTCAACGCAATTTTACGAATGAGCCGGCGGCAGCGTAATTCAGTATTCGGCTTGGTAGAATAATTTTCGTTTAGTGCATTCGCCGTCGTGGGCACTGCTCCACTGCATAATTGGGAGAATATTGTCATAAAGGCATTTAGCTGTCCTTCCCAAAACCGTTCCATTTTTCTAATTGAGCTTAGAATCCGAATTCGCTTACTTTTGGGATCGACAGTTTTGAAGTCGAACCATGGCTCGGCTGTAGAACTTCCACCTTTCAAGATCGAATGCGGGTGTTCGGGATGGGCTGCAAAAGGAAGATGTCAGGCATTTGCCCTGTGCGTCTCTTTACGAGTAATCAAATTCGATTCAAAACCATCTTACAAGGTGATGATTTGCTACCATGAGCCAAGCTGAACGCAGATGGTTTCACGTCCTCGTCGTTGATGTCTTTTGGTGGAGTCGGTGGACGAGGTTCCTTTTCGAAACCGCTAAAAGCATCAAACTGACTCCTGTAAACGATATGGAAAAAAACTCGTACCTGTGGGCGTGTTCGTCAAGTAGGTCATCAAGAGACTTCTGAAACAAAATACGTATATTGACCACCTGACTGATTTAAACACCATTTTTTGCATGCGTACTTTTTTGCCTTTTTTCCTCACTACAACGAAAAGAACTTCAAATACCTCAGGTACTTCAGGCACTTCAGGAATGGTGAGAGGCCCGCGCCGATTGAATGTAGATTCCTCAGCCTCCGGTGTCTGGCTGCGAAAATCTGGACGATCAGAAGAATCCGAGTCCTCTTGAGGAGTTGATTCTGAAAACACACTACATACCCGATTGTGAGAAGTTCATTCAAGTATTATCATCAACATTTTAGTAATTTGTTCAAATCTGTATATTTAGGCACTATTTACACAGACACTATGCACATTTTACTAGAAAACAACGCCAAACAGCTATACTATACGTGCCCTGTCGTAATAAATTTTGCCAAATTTACAAAAAATAAGGGCTCGTTACTCTGCACAAACCACCGAATCTGAAGCCTGTGCTGCGAAAATGCATTTTTGGACATTTTTATACGAACTACAATACACTCATCAATAAGTCAATGCTCACGCAATCATTCCTTTACCCCATAACGAAGAGACGAAAAAAAAAAACCAAGAATGGAATTCACGCCCCGCTTTTCTGAGCGTTTTATCTCTGAAAACACTTACTCTTCTCCTCCTTCTTCTCCACAGTCGGCTTCCATTCATCAGTTTCTTGCATTCTGTGCAACACCTCGTCAACATCTCCATGTACTTCAGCTACCTGATCCTCGATCAGCTGATCAAGCGGTACTCCGCCACGGCCAACAGGCTCGAACGGCGCATCTAAAGATATTACTGGCATAAACAATGATGCGCTTATTGTCTGATGATGCCGAGTTACACCTTTTGTTTTTGTCAGGAGCAAAACAGAAATAAGTCAGCCTGGGTCAAAGTTGATACAACGCGCAGAATTGTAAACAGTAAGCGTGAAAGATCAGAAAGCAGACGAACGATAACACACCATGGTGTCCATGATCGTGGGAACCGACGTCCTGGGACCGATCAGCGGGCGCTTGGGCAGGCGCTTGAGTAGGAGCTTGGGCAGGTGTAGGAGCCGGTGCTGGAGGAGCTGTTGGTACTGCTGGTGCTGATGCTGGTGCTGCTGGAGCTGGCTCTGGCTTTGTTTCCTGGAAAGTTTATCACTTTTGAAACATTTTCAAATCCTAGAGTTAAAGCTACCACAGACTCACAATAAAAAGCTGTCAAATCTATGAATTCGCCAAGGAGCCACGCCACACCTCTTGTGGACGGTAAATTTGAGGTTTGTTCAAGTATAGTATCCAAACCAAGAAAAGGCAGATATTTTCGAAAGGGTACGGTCATTGCTAGCATAACTGATACAGTCATATCAAAATCATGCATGGACGCTCTTCTTTTCTTAGTTGGAAGCTGTGAAAAAGAACTTCCCTTTTTGCGGTCGTTCATTTTTTTGCCTCACAACATTTTCTCAGAGTAACGGAAGATCATAAACAAACATAGTGTAAGATAAATGAACGAAAATGTGGAATCTAGTTTCGAAGAGCACATACATATGAAGTTTGACTGACAAAAGTGATGATTTTATTGGCACTTATTTATTATCTACCACAGTACCTTTGCCAAAATAGATTTTGAAAACGATGAGCATTTCAAAGAACGCAATCTAGACAATATTCTCATCGGGTCGGTAGACATTATGCGATTTATTGAAGATACTCGTAATGTTTTGGGATTTGGCCAAATTCTGACTCGGAGCTTTTCACATGGTCATTTCAATTTTCTGGTACATCCATGTATCGAGGGATAGAAAAGACTGAAACTATGATATCGAGATAGACAGAGAATGATGCCGGATGATAATTCAGAAACTTTCCCCGGAGATCCAAACTCGCGTAGTTTGTGATCTTAAGGTAAATCATACGCCTGAGAGAATGTTGCTGAATAATATTCTAACCATAAGACCCCACCTCTTACCTTTTTGTAAAGCCAAACAGAAAAAGCATCACTCACATGTGCTGGTGGTATGACGACGTCGCCAAGAAGGTCGTATGTATTCAGTGTGCCGGCAGATTTCGCATCATCCGTATGATCTGAAGGTATTGTGCAATCAAAAAGTCGGCAAAAAGTAAAGACGCATTGCACTACACAGATTACTGAACAACGCACGAAAAAGTGCATTGCATTCCTGGATTTAAATCATACGCTTTTTCCCCTAAAAAAATTTTCTCAGTCAACGGCTTGAGGATGTGAAATGATTCGGACAAAAAGTGAAGCTTTTAAAGAATCAAACAGCACTTGGCTACTCTCGTCAATCATACAACTAAAGGTGTAGGGAGCAAAATACGATGTTTTCACGGTATTGCAATTCCTTGATTTCACTTAATAATATATTCTTGAACAAAAAGGAAATGTCATCTTTCAAGTGACTATCTATTGTAAAAAATACCCCGTCTTTCCAGCGATAGCAAGGCGATACTGCTATGAAATGTACGGGTGCTAGATGGATGATCTGGAACGATTTACCCCAACCACAAGGCTTTATGTAATGTATTTCAAAAAACATGCAAAATTCCAGTCATGTATTTGCTGATTACTTTCGCTTGCAGTGTTGACCGCTCCTGTTCATAGTCCTAGCGAAAAAACGGTATTTATGTGTCTCGAGAGACTCCATTTTCCAGAACAAAGATTGTTTGTACAAACTTCAAAGAAAACAGCCGACTTGCTTTTTTGGTGCTGAACTTTCTCAGTCCATAATGGTATCTCAGATCATAAAAGCGCTATACTGCGTATACAGGCCAAATGTCCACATCGTAACACATTTTACAACGGACGTAGCAAAACACCATCTTGGCACCTGCCTGCAACGTACGTACGTAGAGGTTAAGGACCTCCGAAGGACAATGACACATTCGCAGGACGAGGAGAAAAAGTGGGGATAAAATTCTACGCGAGGTGACAAAACTTTGAATCTTTGATTTGGTCCAGGACTCGTAAAAATTAGATACAAATGTTTTTACTGACATGCTAATACTCGACATTTTATCAATTTCTGCGACGTTGGAACTTTCTAGTTTTGCGACGCAATCAAACTTAGCCGGAAATTACTGTCTATACTCACTTCACACACATTTTCGAAAAAAAAGCTGCGTATAAAATTACTGGTGAAATATGACTCTACATACGTGAAAAACGCAATTGACGAATCGCTTACTTAACCTTTGCAGCCACTGTAGTCGCGTTGCAAGCTTTTTTCTGTGTTTCACTGGATACTGTGGTGATGATTCAAGATTTATGAAAGAAACTGTTTCTAATGGCAATCGCAAAATGCTACTGTCAAATAGAAAAAGAGGCACACATAAATCATGTGGAAATGCTCTTTGTTGTTTGCATGACTGCAATTAACTCAATTTCAAAAATTATATATCCGCGGTCAAACCTTCGTGCATGAATTACATATTTGCAAATAAAGTAGCCATAAATACAATGTGCTGAAACATCTTGCATTTATTGAATTGATAATTAAAAAGGAGACGCTAGTTTTGATTTTTCATCGCTATATGGACATCAAAACCACAAAAATTCAATGAACTTAATAACTCCAGTCCCTGATACACCATGGGGAAACGCTGAAAGCCAATTTGTGTCCGCCTTCAAAAATATGCTATCTTACCAGGCTGAAAAGATAAAACTAATCCGAAGAATTAAGACTTGTTACTATTCGACCGTGTTACCACTAACGATGAAGACAGCTATTGCCTACATTATCAGGGAATGAATGTTCCAAAATTGAATTTTTATTATTAAATAATTCTGGGTTCCACGGAGCTCAAATTATGCTGCTTGTGCCTGGCTCAAAATTTCTACTTATCGAAAACGAGAAAAACTGGAACCGAAGTCTAACGCCAAAGGTAATTTTACCTCCGGCGACGTGCTTTGGTGGCTCCGGATGTGGTTCGTTCCTTGGTATGTCAACCAAATCGCCTCCATAGGATTTCTCTAGCACATCGTTATGTGCACCGGATGACATGTCTTTCTGGAAAAAATATTTCACCATAAATCATACTTCGAGATCGCCCCAAAAGCTCTCGCTCCCAAAGAGAATGAAGAAGAAAAAAGAAGCAAGAAAAAAGGGAACGGAGGCATTTAAGCGTGCAAGATATGCTTTCAAGGCGATTGAATGATGTGGCAGTTGACGATAAATGCATTAGCAGCGCGTTTATCATAATTCCATATTGACAGCATCGCCAAAAGCAGTGAAAAGCAGAAAATTGTAGCCGGGGCGATTGGAAAAAGCTTCATAGAGCACATAAACAGAACATGATAAGCGAGTGAGCAAGTGCCAAGAGGACTTATCTGAAAACAACTGAGAAATAAAGATGACATGTGGCATCGAAATAGATTGTCCAGGAAATAAGCACATAGAAACCTTGCTATTCGATCTCACCAGAGGTCGTTGTTTGTCAAGGTGGGAAACCCGCTGGTCGTAATTTTACCTCTAGGTCGGTAATTTCGACAAGGTGAGTCAGGTGCGTTTTTTGGCATAGCACAGGCTGTTTACACTAGTTTTATTGACTCTGGAGAAGGTAATATTGCCAAAACTTTGAACATTAAGAAGGACATCTATCGATAAGCAGGTCAAGTGTCCACAAAAAGTATTATTGAGGTTTCGCACAATAAATGTCCGATAACTTCTCAAAGCATGGGAATATTCCAACACGCGAGCTCGTAGAGGCTTAACATAGATTGTTCAAAACTTATTTTTCATATTGCAGCCACCTTAGACATATATTTGCATCTTACTGCAAATTATGAAACTCACAGGCTGCACGACTAATAACTAGTGATAAGTATGATGAGTTGATAGTGACATTTTAACCTCAAAAACAAGATAAATAGTTTGCTGATACTAATCTGCTGCAAAATGAGCAGTCTGAGCGGCAAATTGCTAATTTTGGCAACGAACGTAGATGTCATTATTGGAAGGAAACGTAACCAAGCAACTAGTCACAAAGCCGACTAATCAGGAGCTTAGCTAATTAGCCATCCTGCTGAATTTTGGGAAGACCTTTATTCGCTTTCTGCCAGAAGAAGTCAACAAACAGAAGTTCCGAAGAACCTGGAGTCATTTTTTCAAACATCACGAGTGAACTTCTACTCACCAAATTAACGAAGAGAATCACATGACTACGTCAAGCAATAAATGCACATAATCAACTGATTAATCGTTCGCCAAGCGCGGAAATGAGAGTCACCCAGCCAGGGAGAAAGCAATTTTCTCAAATAAACGCTATTTCAAAAAATATCGACGAGAACTTCTGCTAAACTTGGCGGCCAGTCAACAACAAAACCAGTCCCGTCAAATTTCTTTAGCAGACTAAAGAAGAAGGGACACACTCCATAAAGTCGAGAGCAGCGGAGTGCAGACGCTTTTAGCGATAGAAAAAGAGAAATGATGAGATATGAAGAAATTGTGGATGGGAAAGCAAAGCAGGAGAGCCACTGGCAGAGCGATATGTCAATAAGGACCGGATAGGGCTCTAAGCACCTCTCTAGATGGCGGATACTGCAGAATGTGGCTTCTACGACTGAATGGGTTCCAAATAGTTCACTTGAGGAGGAACGACTAAAGCACATGAACTGCACGAGTACGATAAAAAATTTTCCAATGAAACGCACGGATAAATTCTTGGTATCTTCAGACTCTCAAGCTCTGGGCCTCTAAACAATATGCGACAGAAAATTTACTAATTATTTAGAAGTGAATCGCCCTCTGAACGATGAGGTATTACGAACGAGATTATGCTTTGAATCAGCGAGCACAAATACAAGTGGAAAAGCCAAGAAAAGCTTGATCTATAATACTATTAATGTCGCATCTAGCATATGTAGAACATTATATGAAACTTTACAAGGAGATAACCTAGTGTTGCTGGCATAGAAGCAGTATAAAGTCTACTTCTCAAATCCAACTGGATTTACCCTGCATCTGAACGCAAGATTTGCAGGAACTTTGCTCAGCGCCTCATCTTCTGCACACAGACTGGTGGTATTCGCTTTAATGAGCAAAACCATTCTGTAACCTATGCTATTACTCTCAAGGCTTGGGAATGCCATAAGAAGACTTCCCAATTTTTTAGTTCGATAGGTTCCATGCACTGGTTTCAGGCAATGATGAAAAAGTCATAGACAACTGTTTGAAATAGATGAAGGTGCATGCCTCATGCAATAATATCACGGTAAAACTGGATTATGCGAAACGACAGCACCGCGAAGGCCAACCCCAATGTAATGGATTTTGCGACATCAAATAACTCGTTCACAGAATGAGTACCATTCTTTCGAGATTTATGATAGCAATCTGTACAGCAAGATAAGCTTAGGGGTTGAGAACTTCGATAAAAAGCGTCTGCACCGTGGACCCTGCACTCGAAAAGCTTGGCTCCGAGAGAATGGGTTTACTTCCCATAAACAGATCTCGAAAGCAGTGCGAGCCAAGCATTTAAGGAGCCCAAGGATGATGATAGACCAGTTGATGTCGAAGACAGCAAAGGAGGGACCTCCCAAAAAGTTATGACGTAAGCAGTGTGCTAAATAGGCCGATAAACACAGCAATTCAGAGGGGTATTTCAAAGCCATGCAATTTTGCTCTTCAAAAACTCCGCAATTTCGCCAATGAATCCAATTTGAGCTACAAAAATCAAACGCTATGAGTTCAAAGCAATTCTACATTCTAAGCGTTGCGAAAAATATTGCAGTTTAAGATTTAATTCTATGTTCTGAAAGTTTGTCCTCTGTTCCTAAACATTTAATCTTCTCTTACTGTGTTAGAGTTGAGCATGCTCAATATGATGCACAAAAAAAAATTGAGGACGGTACATCCATGTCTTCCATGTTCCATGTCTACTGGCTAATAAAACCGGTAGACATGGAAGATAATAAAATCCGGCATTGCCAAAATATTGATTTCGTGACGTACGGCAAATTTTACGCGTGACAGAAGTGAGAATGTTAGCATGTTTCGAAAGACGTGACAAAAATCCTTTTATCTGTTTTGATTTATTTCTCGAACATGCTTGATAAGCAATCAATTTTTCTGTTGAAATTGAGTGGCTGAACGTTTCGTGGGAATTTGAGATTTTATGGCGAAAGCATATACTGAAATAAGAATTCTGAACAATGTCTTTAATGAGACACTGATATTCAAATTGAGTTATTCCATTGCCAAATGATATTCAAAATAAGTTATTCCATTGGCAATATATTCTAGCAAAAGTTGAGTTTCACTCTCTCAACAGCCCTCTGAAGAATTACATTATTAATTTTTCGCTTTCATTGCAAAGATAGAGCATGGAAACATATTAACACTATTTAGTGCCAACAGACAGATCATGCTTCATTTCCTTTGGAGAATTTCTGCTGAAACGAACAGAAGAATGCGCAGCAGCAGATTAGAGACAGATGAAAAAGCATCTTCATTCAAATCCAACACGTAAAGCGATTGAGTAAATGCTAACAACGCTCAGTGTTTGTAACTATATAAGTTCCAATCCAGTCAACCTAAAAAATTTGTTGATTGTGAGACATGAATTCAGCATTTTCGCCAGCTGAGACATGCTTTCAACTGCCAGACTACGCACTCAAAGATCATACGCCGGTGATGTTGGAAGGATCCATGAGCACAAACAGAGTAAACAACAGGGAACTCACAGCGCTACGAAAATAACTGTTTTCCTCGTCTCGATCAACGAAAAGGAAGTGCATTGCTGCAGAAGATAGAAGAAGAAGAGAAGGAGGACATCGATGTGAGAGGTACCAGCTGTTAGCGTCAAGTGCGGGAATGTAAACAGTAAAAAATTCCAATGCAAAGCACTCTGCAAAAAAATGCGTTTCAAATGCAGTGATTTATCTTGACCTTTCTTCTTGACATTTCCAGGAAAAAGAATGCGGAGCGCTAGATAAAAATGTTGACATAATGAAAGGCTCAGCTTATAGAGAGCAAAGCTGCAGCGATATCGAACTGAGAACAGGTAAGTAAAACACAAACTACGACAATTGGCTTTATATATCCGCAAATCCACTTCAGTGCAAGACCTGCAAGGTGAGTAACACAGCGACTTCTAGAAGCGAATTGCGAAACTATCGTCGATGTTGTTATCTCAGCTCTGTGATTCATATACGCTGCACAATTGTTTATGTAAAAAGAAGGATGTGCATCAAAACATAATGTCAGAAGCACGGTGATGATGCAAGAAACTGCATTATTTAGGGATCCCAGCTTGGAAAACATGATTTTGATTCAAAAAATACCTATTCTGACAAGCCTGGAATAAAATACGGAATTTTATGAATTCGTCTCGTAGCTCAGCAGACGGTAGCGAATTGAAATTGCAGAATGAGCACAACGGGATGTCCACACGGCCTCGCCGTCGCAAGTACACTTTTTCTAACTCCAAATAACACTTGGCAAATACGATCGATTGCCGTAGAGCTGTAATTTGCTAGCGTCGCAAGAAACAAAACATTTTGCCCATGAAATGCGAGCCTTATGCACGGCAATAATTGCTAGAGTAAAAGCTGACGCCCAGCAATCTACTTTACATGAATGGACCTGGTGCACGACCATCTGTGGTATTTCAAAAAAAAAAGAAACCGAACTGAAATACCAAGCAAAGCAGTCACCTTCAAAATGACATCCAAATACTAATTTATGGCTTTCAAACTCATTTTTTTGGTCACTAAATTTGCTATAACGCTTTGAGCATAGCAAAATTGGCTAGAAGGTTAGAAGAGACTCTGAGCGGAAACGCTTCCAGCCTCCAACAGGATGGTGATGGCATATTGTCAGCGGAAATGGAAAACAAACTTGTTTACAACTCCAACTTCCAAAAACATTTGCGAAACATGATGCTCGCAAAATTTCCATAAAATCGCATTGACATATATTAGGTTACTGCAACATAAAGACAGAGATGGTGTTTATAAAGGAAGGATAGATTCTGTTGGAAAGATAAAATTCCTGGATGGCCATTTCTG